GGGGGTCGGCTTTCACAGGCCGCTGAGGCTGCCTGCAGCAGTGAAAGTGAGCCAGTGCGGATGGGGGGCAGTGCGCACTGAGGCTGGTCATGGTCACCTGGCCAGAGCCTTTTCCAATAATCTCATGGGTTTTTGTGCTGCGATATAAAGTCAAAGCAACATAGGCAAACACAACTGGAACACACAGAAATCCCATTTCTTGGAAACCAAAGGAATAACACCACCTTTACTAACTGTTGTTATTCCCCATGGGCTCCATTTAATGCAACGAGATCTATTGCAAAGGGAGCCTCAGAGATTGGATGTAAGTTGCCTTTCCCACCCTGAATCCCCTTCCCAGTCAGCCCCTTGCTTCTAGACACACTTAGCCAGAGGTTTCCCGTGTTCCAGGCCTCGAGGCTGGGAAGTTGGATGAATGTTCCTGCCTTGCTCCCAGTCTAGCAGGTGCAGAGCAGGCGGGGAACATGTCCCGGGTGAGGTGGCCCCAGAGCTGTGGTCTGCAGCAGAATCAGCACCTGGGGGAATGGAGGCTGATGGCAGAGGGTTGGCGTGGCTGGGCAGTGCAGGAAGTTCAGGCAGGCCTGGAGAAGTGGCAAGGCCAAGAGGCACTCAGCTGAGGAGCATGGACCTTGTTCTTAGGGTAAAAAGCAGCCGCTGGTGGCTGCCAGGTCAGGGAGAGATCTGTATTCAGAGAGAGCACTCAGGCAGGAGTGTGGGAGGACAGCTTTGAGGGGCGTAAGCAGAATGGCAGTGGACAACCACTGAGGAGAGCACTGGGATGGACAGTGGGGGGTGGGCAGGAGCGATGCTGAGGGCAGCAGACCCTCGGGACTTGGTGAGCTGGGCCATGGGGAGGCCCCTCATGGGCACCCTGGAGCAGGAATTCCTTCCCTCTGACACACAGCTTCCTCTGCCTCTCAGCGCCATCTCTCCTGGGCAGCTGAAATGTCTCTTTCCAGCCTCATCAAACCCTGATTGTCACCCCATCCTGTGAGGACTTTTCTAAATTCCCACCTTTAGTACTTAGGTGCCCTGCCATTCTCACGTGCTGTCCACATGGTATCTCCACCATTGGAAAAGCATAGCATTATCTGGCATATAAAATGCCAAGACAAAAAACATCCAGAAATGGCTTTCAAAGTGCTGGGTATAATATAATGGGACACTGAGATGGGAGCACGCAAAGAGCTCCTGTGATAGCTGTCAGCAGGCCTTCTTTTGTGGTTTAAAAAGTTTTGTGACAATTTAAAAATGTCTCTTCCATAGTTCCTCAGAAGCCCCTCACTTCTTCCAGAGGAGGTGAGATTGCCACTTGATTTGAGCAGATGTGTGCCGACACTGCTGTAAAGAGAAGGTACTGGTAGGTCGGACCAGAATGTGAGGTCGTTACAAATAATGTGCTGCCAGAATCCAAAGGTGACTGTCATGTGGAAGAAGGGTCACACTCACTTTCTAAGGTTCGAGAGGGCAGAACAAGCTCCAACAGACAGCAGTTAGACGGAGAGGCACTTCGACTTAGAAAATTCAACACAGAAATTCTCAGCAACAGAACATGTTACTGTGAAGCAGCAAACACATCACCCTAAGTAGCATTTGAGCAGAGACCGATGACTGCTGTCTATCCAAAGTGCCGCAGGAAGCATCACCTGATGGTTGGGAGGAAAGGTAAGAGCACATCCCGAAGGATCCCAAGTACTGTGAACATAGGGACGTGTGATCGAGAGAGAGAAATCTCGTCCCCCTTGAGAACTCTGAAGTCCATGTGGCTCCAAGTTTTCCAGGGCTGTGGCAGGCAGATGAACCTCAAAATGACCCCAAGATCCCCGTCATGTTGAGGCCTGGGCTCCAGGAAGGGCAGTCAGTTGGTTGGTGATGCTGCAGTCTTCCTGCTTTGCCTGGCTTCCAATCCGGCCCCCAGATGGCAGGAGATGGACTTTTCTGATGCATTTCTGTACACTGCCCAGTTTGGGAGAACAGATGCTGTGGGTCAGGCCAGTGGCCATAAATTTCTGGGAAATAACTCCTAGTGACTGGGGGAAGAAAGCCATAAAACACTCTGGAGGCAGGGACAGGAGAAAACAATGGCAGAGGACAATGCACGGAATTACTTCAAATGCCAGCAGGAGCCCCACAGATCACTCATCCTCCTGGCTGCACCTCTGCTCAGGGAGCCTTGGCGAAATGTGCTACCCAGTGCCAAAGGAGAAAAAGGGGCCCCTGCACTCCAAGGCTCTTCTTCCTTTCCTGTGGTTTATTCAACAAAAAGTCACTGAAGCCTCCTTCGGGGCAGGCCCTATACTCAGCACTGGAGACAGCTGTGCACCAAACAGACCCAAGCCCCTGCTCTCATGCAGCTGATATCCTAGCCATCTCTAGGTCTCACCTGCTGGGAGGAAGAGGAAACGAAACTTGTGCCTGATGGTGCCGAGAGGTAGACGGATTACCTCAATGGGTTTCCATGGCAACCCTGAGAAGCAACTCTGCGTGATGCTTTTGACACACGGACAACTGGAGGTCACTGAGTGTCATCAGCTAGACAGAATGGGTCTCTGACTGCTCTTTCTCCCCAAGCTGCAAACTGCAGCCCTATGCCACAGTGACCACACCTGGCTGTTTGCACCATTCTGTAACCTGTAACCCAGCCCCTCTGCCCCCACCCTCTTCTCTGTCACTAAAGGGTAAGGGCAAGATGCCCTGGGGTTTCTGTAGCCATCACACAGACCCTCCTCACTGGCCCAGCGCTGAGTGCTATATGCAGAGAGCAGCCAACAGATGTTACCCAGATGTTAACTGTCAATCGGCTCTCCATCCTCTTTATCTCCAGTCTTCTTCCCCTCCAAATTTCCAAGTTCTGTGCTCTAAGCTTAAGCCTGCCTCTGGCCTGTGGAATCGGCATTCCTCTTTAGTCTTCCTAGCTTTTGCATCTCAACTTCCCCCTAATGGTGTCTGGGTTGGCTTCCCGGTCCTCAGTGTCTATGCAGTCCTGAGGAGAAACCCCTTGTTACCTCCATCCCCCCACCAACTATTCCTCTGGTTTCCCCCTAGGCTCTTTCTCCAAAGGAGTGACCGATTCTCCATCTCTCTGGCCCTCATCCCAGCACATGTGGTCCAAGGACATGGAGGTCCCCACCTATGCCCCAGGACATAGACACTCACCAAAGTTCTCCCCACCCCAGATGTCCATGTCCATATCATATTTCCCCAGGTAATTGAACCAGGATTTGTCCATCACGAAGAGCCCTCCAGCTATGATCGGAGTCCTGTGCATATGCAAGGAAAGAGGGAGGATCAGTTACGCGAGGGGGACCACTGTCACACTCCACCCTGGCAGTCCAGAACTCAAGGCCATTTTCTTCCCATTGCTGCTGCCAATAGATTTTCCATTTACCTAAAATAAGAACATGTCCCAGGGATTTTCCTTTTGATTGTAAACCTCCCGACCTCGCAGACAGGCTAATTCACTCATCAGCACACCTCCTGGTGGGGACCAGGACTCACCCAGAACCCTGGCTGTTCTGGAGGCCTGGGGAGCCTCCCCAACCTCTGCCATGGGCTCTCTTGGGAGCAGGGGCAGTGGGCCACTGACCAGGCCAAGAACAGCTGAAGCAGGACCTATTCACAGCACCAGCCATTTCTCGAGAATAGGCTCTCTCCCTTTTCTTTCTTATTTACTGCTTTGCCATGGTTTATGTCTACCTAAAAAAATATGTTGGGGTCCTACCCTCCAGTGCCTCAGAATGTGACCTTATTTGGAGAGAGGGTCTTTACAGAGTTAAGTTAAAATGAGGTCATGAGGGTGGACCCTAATCTGACATGGCTAGTGTCCTTATACCAGGAGACAGGCATGTACAGAGATGATGGGAAGAGGCACAGAGAAGATGGCCATCTGTAAGCCAAGGAGAGAGGTCTGGCACAGCTCTTGGAAGGCATTGACCCTGCTGACACCCTGATTTTGGACTTCCAGCCTCCAGAACTGAGAGACAATGCATTTCTGTTGCTAAGGCACTTGGTCTGCAGTGCTTCGCTGCAGCAGCCCTAGCCAACTCATACATCCTCATCTTCACTCCTTTTCTTGGGGTCCCACCCTAACCTCCCCTACCTTTGCTAGCTGAAAGAGATGCCGGAGAAGCCACTTGGAAAGGACAGGGGTGGCAGAGGCCAATTAAATAATCCTGAAAGTATAAGGACGTGTTTCTGGAAGAATCAACAGCTGGGGTACGTGGGCGAGCCCCTGGGCACCTGGCTCCTCATTCAGCAGGTCCAGAGGACAAAGGGAGTTTTCTCCTGTATCAAATAGTTAGGTGACAGAGAGCAGGTCCTGGGGCTCCTGATGCCACTACACCCTGCTATTCCCTGAGAACTGATCTAATCCTGGGGGGCACTTGCTGTCTGATGAGCAGAGGTATTCCCACAAGGAGAGAAACTTCCCCAAGAATCCCATGGCTGGGATGGCAAAGGGAAAACCTAGAGGCAGCTGCATCCCCACCGCCTCATCCCTGACCTGGTCCACTGCTGCCACAGGTGCCACTGGCAGGGACTGAGCAGCTGATGTGTGCAGCATGGTGCTCAGGATGGGAAGAAGGTTCTACTCTCCCTTTAAAAATAAAGGGCATTATCTAGAATGCCATGTGGCTCCAAGTCCCCTCTTGGCATCTCTCAAGACAAAGGAGATTCCCAACAGGTCTGGGATGTGTTTACCATCCAGTCTTAGATAGGAACATCCAGGCCACACTCTTGATGCTGTGGCTGTAGGCTTCCTCACTAGGGGGACCCCTATGATCTATTCTGCGCTGAGCCCTGAGATAGGCCCTGAGGCAGCCATCTTGCAACCATGTGCTATGAGTGACAACAGGGGCTGGCAGAGAAGATGCAGAACAGGACAAAGCTTTGACAGCAATGCCAAGGCAGCCCACAGCTGATGCCACCATCATGTTCTTGCACACAACAGAGTAGACCGGTTTGTTAGTTAAGTAGCAGTGGCCATGCCTTGAAATCAGCCCCATTTACGGCAATGGCTGACTTGACCATCTTGGGTTCAATACTGACATGCAAGACCTGGGGGCTCTGCTCCTGACCCTAAGGAGCCATTTGCCCTTGTCACAGGCTCAAATGGGACCATCTGGGAACCTCCAGCATTGAGCAGGAAGCATAAGTGCATCATGGTGTGTGAGTGGGTGTATGGCGCTAGGCACCTCTTCAGCACAGTCTCCACCAGGTCCCATCCCCTCCGAAGTCTGCCTGAAGACAGAAACCTCCTAAATATGGGCAAAGTGGAGCTGGTCTAACAAAGGATTCTTTTTGTCCCTGCCCAATCTTTTGAGCATCTAATGTGGCCTCCTATGCCACGTGACAGTGGGAAGGGCCGAGTGGTGATGATCTGCTCACCCACCCCTGCCCTGACTTACCTGATGGGCTCAGTGGGGTCCAGGCGCCGAGCCTTCTGCTCTGCAGAGAGCTGCTCCCACTGGAAGTGAAGGCTCCAGTCAAACCCTAGAACATAGCACCCACTCGGCTGACTTAGGTCTCTTGGATGTACCTGCAGAGCTTACTCTCTCTGTCCCTTTCCTAGACCATCAGCAGGCTCTTAGGAGGCAGAAGTCACAGTCAGCCAGGAAGGTGACCTCAGCCTGCAAATGCCCCCTGGGCAGCTGGCCCCAGGGACAACAGGCCGCACCAGGCCAATCAGGAGCAGGGCTGTCTGATTCCCCTTCCATAGCTCCTTCTCTTTCTCCACCTCTTGCTGCCTCTCTAAGGCTTCTCTGCTGGGTGGGGTTAGGGATAAAGGGCATCATGACACATGATAAAGAGTCAGATTTGACTGAGCCCATGTGGGGACAAGACGGCAGTTATGGATGTGGTCCTTGCCCAGGTGCCTCAGGAGCCTTGGGAAGGTGTAGGCAGGAGGTCTGGGAAGAGGTCAGTCACCTCCACACCTCCAGTAGGCCTTAGGAGCCAGCACATGGCACCAGGGCTGAGGTGTCAGAACAACTGGGGCCTCACAGCCAGAGGCCTTGCTGTCCTCATATGCTAAGGTCCTGGAACAAGCTCCATGCTGGCACCAGAGCTCTGGGGGTGCCCTGCCCCATCCCCTGGCCATTCTGTTCTGTCTCAGTGGGAAGGGCCATGCTGGAGCTACTGACATTACAGGATGCAGGGCTGGACATTCCAAACCATCAAGAGACTTTTCTCCACTTTCCCCCTTAAAGCAATGACAAGAAGAGGAGAAAAAGGAAGTCCTTGCTGGGGAGCAGGCATTCCCCGACTCACCCCCTCTGAGCTCTGTGGCTGACTCGATGTAGTTGAAATTGTCCAGGTTGATGATGTCAATCACAGGGCACACCACCCGAGTGTAATCCTGCAAAACAACAGGCTCCATGTTCAGGCTGTGGTGTCGCAGCCAGGCAGGGAGTCAGGGAGTTTGCTAGGGTCTCAGCCATAATGCTAGAGACTGGTTTTGTGGCCTTGGCCAAGCACTTTCATCTCTGGATCTCAATTTTTTCATTATAAAATGGGGCACTGGATGCTGTGACCTCTCCAGTTGTGATACATAAAAGGTTAAGATCCCTTCCGTCACTCCTGGGGGCCTTCTCAGCCACAGGGCCCAGCTAAGCACAGTGGGGACGTAGCGGGGGCTGGCTGGAGAGGACTGTACACTGAGAAAGGGGGACTCAGGGAGAAGGGGGCCCAGAAGTCCTGCACCATCAGCAGGCTCTTAGGAGGCAGAAGTCACAGTCAGCCAGGAAGGTGACCTCAGCCTGCAAGAAGCAAAGCCAAAGACAACACCCACAGGGGGAATCTTGCAGAATTTCCATCCTATTCTTACGTTGATAGGCAAGTTGATGCAGAGCCATCTCTGGAGATTCCTAACTTCAGTTGTCATGTGTGATGCTCACAAATCCGGCCTCCAGCCCTGACTTCTCTCCTCACTTCCAGATTCAGGTCAGTCTGCCACTGGCCATCTCCATGTGGATTTCACATAGCCTTTCAGTGGTGCCTTCATATCTTCTCCCCAAACGTGCTCCTTTCCCTCAGTTTCCTATGTCTGTTAGCAGAACCACCACACATCCCCCTTCCTCCCAGCACTGAATTAAGAAGCTTCACCTCTGCCCATCATCCAGATGGATCCTGCTGACTCTAATTCTAAAACCACTCCTCTGAGTGTATCCTGTCTCTCCATTGCCTTCACACCTGGAGATCTGCAATGGGTTCCTCCCCACCCCGTCTCATCCTTTCCCCTTTCATTCCATGGGGGGCTGACAAAGGCATCTTTCTGATGTACAAATCTCACTCTCCAGCTCAACAGCTAAACACTTGAACTGCCTCCAAGATAAGGTTCAAACGCCTTAGCCTGGCATCCAAGACCTTCAAATACAGACCTATATCTCATTTTCCAGACTCATTGCAGACCGTCTATAGGCATCAGTCATCCAAGAAACATTTCCAAAATATGCGAGATGAATTCACCAGTTCTGAGGGGTCATCAAGGCACTGCATATACTTGTAAAGTGTTTTCCAACTCTGGGTGAACACCACAGGCCTGGTGTCCAGGAGGGGAAACCAGGCCCCTGTGTGCAGTGTTAATAAGGTGTGAACACAGAGACTCCTGAGCTACATGGCATCAAGCAGCCTGGGGCAGCGGGCAGGTCTGGGGGAGCAGGCAATCTGAGGGAGTGGGCAGCCTGGGGGAGTGGGCAGGTCTGGACAGAGCAGCAGGACCACTCTTCTGATCCCCCACCCTTCCACTCCTGTCCAGCATAGCCAGCACCCTCTATTCTCCTTGTAGCCATTTAATTTCCTGGTTCAATCTCTTTCCCAAATGAGGCTGTCGTCTTATTTTAAGCTCAGATTCACTGAATGCCTGCTTTTACGTTCACAGACTTAATACAGCCCTCAGCTTCCACATGTGACTCATCCTGACAGTGACAAGGTACCTTGGAAGCCAAGCGGCCCAAGTGGAAAGAAATGCACATTGTCAGTGCATTGCTTCTACCTCTGAGATGTACACAGATGCTTCCTCACAGTCAGCACAGCGCCTGCTCAGCTGCCACAGTTCTCGGGGCTCCTCAGGCCACTGCCGTTGTGTGTGTGTGCGTGAGTGTGCGCACACACAGCCATCTCTACAAATACCTACACATGGACACAGGCCCAAAGACATTCCTGCGACCTGAATTCTGAAATGTTCTCAGAGGCTCACAGCCTGACCTTCTGTGAGTCTGACATAGTTCTCGTTTTGCCTTTGCTTGCCGAGATTTGTACCTTGCAGCTTCACTAAGTCCTTCTATAGACCTCTGTCCAGTGAAGGATTAACTTCCCCAAAGGTATGTTGAGTCCTTGTCAGCTTTTGAGGGAACTTCTAAGCCCTAGGAATGTCCTGCCTTTAAGAGCATCTCTGTTTACCTGGGAGCCTTGGGCCAAACCAGACAGTCTATGGTAACAATGTGATTTATGGTGAGGCCCTTGGGCCATGGGATACCAACTCAACTTGACCTCTGAAGAGTCCTGGAGACCATGGGGGTAGTCAGCAATGTCTGTGTGACTAACCCCCAATAAGAAACCTGGACACCAAGGCTTGGGTGGGCTTCTAATACTCTATGTGTGTTGCTCCACATCCTGGCTGGGAAGGTAAGTGCTGTCTGTGCCACACCACTGGGAGAGGACAATGGAAGCTGTGCCTGAACTCTCCCTATGCACCTCTCGGCACTGCCGATTTTAATCTGTATACAGTTGCTGTGATAAACAGTAACCGTGAGTGTAACAGCTTTGCTAAGTTCTGAGTTCTTTTAGTGAATCATTGAACCTGAGGGTGGTCTTGGGGACCCTCAAACTGCAGTTCTGGTTTTTTAAAAATAATCTTTCCTCAATACTTGGAAGCCAAAATGCACAATAAAAAGCTGGTTGCATACCTCAGCCACAGGCTTGCCCAAGAGCCACCCAGGGGCTCTGTCTCCTGGACTGCTTTGGGCTCTGGCACACTCTTCCTATAAGTTCTGAGGGCGTCTTTCTTTCCATCATTCCTGCCACAACTTGGCTGTGGTGCCTGCTTGTTTCAGAGTCATGGAGACCAGAGAAGTAGAGAGGGATATTCAGGGCTAAGGGCTAAGGGAGACCTGACCTTGAAAAGGGGCTGCGGGGGACTTTATAATGACCTGTCAAAGCAGGTCACAAACCTCTCTGAGTGACCCAGGGGTTCAGGCTCTACTCCACTTCTGTATCCCTCAGCCCCAGCCCAGAGCCAGGTGGGCAGCAGGTGCTCAATAAAAGAGGCTATGAACTCCCTCTGAGCAGTGTGTCAGTAGCTGGTAGCAAAGCAGGTGGGTCACTGACAGCTGAGAAAGATGGCTTCTCCTCCTGTAGGCTCAGGGATGGAGGCGTCTCCATAGAGATACCCAGATCCACCACAGGTCCCTACCTTCATGCTCCGAAGACTGTATTTTTAAGGCTAGGCCCACAGCAGGCTCAAGCAAGCAGCTGGTGGAATCCCTGACAGATCCAGGACTACACTCCCTCTTCTCCCCAGCACCCCACACAAATCCAAGCCCCATCCCCCCACCCAGCAATGATAGAGGCTCAATGTGCCAGCCAATGGCCATCAACCACTCCTGCCGTCATTCTTCTCCTTTCTCCATTCATGTAATTAAAGCCACATTGTGAATGGACAATCAGAAAGTTTCAAGAGATGCTCATTCACTTACTTGTCAATCAGCATTACTAAGCACCTACTGTGGTTTAGGAACTGAGTAGGTACAAAGACTACTCAAGTAAGACCTCACAGGCCAGGGAAGGTGGGGCACAGGTGAGCAGAGGATTACAATGGGGTCTCCAGGCTAGCCTGGAGGGAGGTGTGGGGAGCAGGAGGGGGTCCTCCAGATGATGCTGTGATAGGAGACTGGGGTTCCTGTTCCGTTCTGCCAACTAGAATATATGTGACCTTGAGCAAAGCAGCACATGCCGAGGAACTCTGTTTCTTCATCATAAAATGAAGACGAATTGTTTACAGAACTATCCTGCCTCCTTAACAGGGCTTTTGGAAGGAACAAGAGAGGAAAGCACAAGAAAGGGCTTTGAAGCCTAGGTAAGCCATTATTTATAAAAATTTACCAAGTGCTACAGGGATTGAAATTTCTTACAATCATTTTTTCCTACTAAAGAAATACGTAGATAAAGAGGGAACACCAACTTGGTACTTGTTTCAAGTATCAAAGGAACTAAAGGGAAGAGCAGGGAAACAGAGAAGCCCTCTGCGCGGAAAACACCAGCTGAGGACAGCTGCTGACAGCCCAAGCTCGGCCTCTTTCTTATCTCTTTCTATTTTTGAAAATCCCAAACTTCAATTACAGCTTAAAATTTCCACTTCCACTCACAAGATCAAATCATGCTTTATGCTGAGACCGGACACATACAAAGACACTGGAAACAGCCTGGGACGTGCCCTCACTCCCTGTCCCAAAGGGAATGTCTCAGCAGAATGGATCCTCATCAGGAGTCAGGGTCTGGTGGAAACCTGTGTAGCTCACGGGTGCTGCTGCCGCCGTGGAAGGGACAGAGCGGGACCACTGTCCAGGTTTGTCTGACCAAGTTCTGCTATGACAGCTTTAGGGGGGACCAGGAGCTCAGCCTGGGGAGCTGAGCTCTGACTTGGAGCCAAATGGTTCCTATAGGAAGAATGCTGGGGGGCAGGCTGTACTGACACGAGGGAAGACAGAAGCTTCCCTGACCTGGTGAGGCTAGACAGGGATGCAGAGACAAGCACTTTTCAGAGAGGGCTTCTGCGGTGGCCTGAGAGCCATGGGGAGCAAAAGGGCCTCGCAGATTCGTTAAGGCTGTCTCAGGACAGCAAGGCCCCCTGGCACATGCTGCAGGGACACATCGGCCCGGGTTCCCACAACTCAAACACTGAATTACTGCATGACCTGGCAATTCCACTCTGGTTTATACTCCAAAGAACTGAGAGCAGGGACTCAAAGGAAAACTTGGACACAATGTTTGCTTCGGCACTGGTCACAACAGCACAGAGGTGGGGATGACCCCAGGGTCCATCGGTGGGTGGGTGGACAAACTGAACGTGGCCGAGAGTGTGATGTTGGGGTACAATAAGAAATACACACTTGGACTTTGTTTCTAGTGCATCGCAGAGCTTCTAAAATCCTGGGGATTTCCTGAGGGGTGTGTGTGTGGGACTTTCATTATTCATCATAAGCCATTTTCAGTCAACCTGGGTTTACGCTAATGAGGATGGAGCCTGGTTACTGGACAAACCAACCTTGTAATTAGAGTGCTGGAACTTTCCGCCCCACCCGCCGCCCCTCAGCATCCCCCCACCCCCAGGGAAGGAAGAGGGCCTGCAGACTGAGTTTACCATGATTTAATCGATCATGCCTAGGAAATGAATGTAACAAAGCTTCCCTAAAACTCCTGAACAGGGTTCCCAGAGCTTCCAGGTATGGATTCATTTCATATGGCCTATTCCAACTCTCCCTCACAACTCTATGGCCTGATTTCCTCAGATTCCAACCTTATCACCACCCCACTGCAACTAAGCTTCATTATTATCATTTCTGCACACTGAGTATTTTCCTCCATGACAGGTACAGTGATCACAAGTTGGTGACTAGCGTCCCCATTGAGTTTGTAACCTGTTAGCAGGGACAGAGAACTAAACCCAGAAAAAGAAACTGTGGGGCCAAGTGGGCAATTGCTGCCAGATGTGATTCCCAGCAGGCCACACAGTCGGGAAAGGCTTCCTGGAGGTGAGGAGACCTGGGCAGCATCCTGAAGGGAAAGGGGATTGTGGAGAGGAGAGGTAGGGCTTCCAGGGGCAGGAAGGACTTGCTCAGAGATGGAGCAGGGGGCATGTTCAGGGAGGAGCAGCTGAGCAGGCGAGCTGTGGTTGCCAATGGAGCATAGGGCCAGGGGAGGATTTGGTAAAGCCCCTCAAAGGAACAGTCTGTTTATAACCCCGCTGTTTCTCAATCCAGACCTCCTCAGCGGGACTATGTCAGAAAGGGGAGGGCACTTCCCTAAACAGCACTAAGCGTTCGAGCACTCCCAATCTCAGGGACACAGGTCACGGGGTGGGTTGTACCATCGAGGCCCACATGGGAAAACTCTGCAAGCCCACCCAGGTTCTCTCGTTGGGATGAACAAAGTTGGTAAGGATTTCCTAGTTCTCTGAGCAGTTCTCACAGCCCAAAACTTTCATCCTCTGAACAGCATCATTTTGCAGGTAGGAGCCAAGCAGCTATTGTGAGAAGTAAGAAGTTAAAAACCACAGCGACTGGTAGGAAGATGTGGAGACAGCATTGAGGGTCCTGGCACTGGAGACAGCAGCTAGGGAGTATCGCCCCAGGACTGTGTCCTCTGGGAAGTGGATGTATGAAAAGAGCCGAGCTCGTACTTCACAGAGCAGCTGTAGGAGTCAACAACTTGGGGAGAAAACGCACTGCACAAATGCCAATTCCTCTGCACGTACAACACACAGCCTCCTGCACATCAGGAGGGAGTGGTGGGCTTTGGGAATATAAGATAATGAGATGGGAAAAATTTTAAATTTTGTCTCACTCTCAGAGGAAGAACTGAGACAAGGAGAGAAGATGCATGCAGAATTCCAGAGTCATTTAAGGGCAGACAGAGGCGAAGAATTTGGGTTTCTTAGCATCCAGCCCACCTGCTTGCCTTTGGGTGGAAGTGATGAGTGGGTGGACATTAAGACAGAACCCTCAGGAATTGGGTGACAAGGCCTGGTTAATTCTGTTGCCTCCTTTTCACAAAAGGCACTCAGCAGGACTCCCTTTACCAAAACCTTCTGTCATCTTGGAGAACTGGTTCTGGGCAGTTTCCTTGCCCGTGAAGCTGTGTGTGGCACGCACCAGCCACTGCTGGCAGCCCCACTTGCAGGCCTGCTGTGTGTGACAGTGTCATACAAAGAACCGGTCCCAGGCTTTGCTACACCACTGCCAGCCAGGTGACCCTGGGCAGGCTGCTCTACCTCAGTTTCTCCATCTATAAAATGGGGACGGCAATCTGTCCTGCCCACTTCACAGAGGGACTGGGGGGCACATGTGAAGTAGTGAGCTTGAGAGAACCCGGAGAAAGTGGGGGTCATGGAATCCCCTCTGCTCCTCACTCACCTCTTTGACTCTGTGCAGCAGGGGCTGGAGCCAGTCCCTGTTCACCTCACAGTGGCTGTCGAGGAACGTCAGAGTGGAGCCCTGGGCAACATCAGCACCCCGGATCCGGGACCGGACCAGCCCTGAAGTAGGGACAAAGGCCAAGTGGGTGCCCCATCACTCCATCTTCCAGCAAGCCCACAGAGGAGCCACACAATAGTGCCCGAAAACTGAGTACACACCCAAATGCACCCCACACCCCCATGCCCCACATTCACACCCTACTGCCCCACCCAGACGCGCAGACCTACCTTGCCGTTGGTTATTGCGTAAGCATTTCACCTTGGGTAACCGGATGAGCTGTTTGCAGTCATCAGCTGAGAAGACAAAAGGTCACAGGAGTGAGTGTCCTGGGTGAGCAGTGAACCTGAAGAGCCTGTAAGGCAGCCTGCCTCCCACCCTACTCCCAGCTGCAGAGCTCTGTCCTGACTCTGGGGTGCTTCTGGGCTTTGGAAGGTGCTGACTGACTACCCCTCTCACTATACCACATGGCCAAGTTCCTGCAAAGGGGCCTCAAAGGGGCCTCTTGGGAGCATGTCAGTCACACAGTAGCACCTATGTACTTGCTGGAAAACACTTCCAGATGGGAATCCTTGGTATGGTCATCTGGGGACATTTCTCCTTTTCTAGAGCTCATTAAATGCAGGAGATAAGAGGCCTATTCACTCTCATGGGGGTCTCATAAAAACCCTGCTGGGAGGCCAGAGAATGGATAAGGTGAATTTTGGAATTTCCTTTCAAAATATGCACTCATAATACAGAAGACACTGTTGATCAAGGGATCTGCCCAGTGCATCCCATCACACAGAGCTGACCTAACACTCTACCATGTAGGAATGTGCCAGGATGGGCAAGAGACCCGTCTTCAGCATTCTCCTTGCACTGTCCTCTAGCTTGCCTGCCTGCTCTGTCCGTTTCTTGGCTCTGAACTCCAGATCATGATCCCACCATTCTGGTTTTGCTTCACTGATTTACGAACCTTAGTTCTGCTTAGCTCTGGACTCTGCAGTGTGACAGCAAAGACTCAGATGGTTTCCCTGTTCTAAGCCCTCCGAATGCGTTAACATTTACTCTTTACATAAACTGTATATATTATTATTATCTCCATTTTATAGTCAAGGCAACTGGGGCACACTGATGTTAATAATTTATGCAAGACACATAGACAATGAGTGAGTGACACGTCTAGGACCTGAAGCCAGGCTACATACAATATAATAGCTATAAACTATTGCACTTTGAAGTGAATCCAACAGCATTCCCTCCTTCAGCTTCTGTACCAGGCTACCTTCCAGCAGGATGAGTGTCTCCCCACCTCCAACGCCTTCCTCACCAGGGAAGGGAGATCAGATCACTGAGTTTCAGGAGTCAGAGCTGATCTCATTACTGTGGATGTGATGTACAACCCACTATGCATTGCTTCCAAGGTTCCAAGCTTCCATGGCTCATGGGTATGCGCTCCCAGCCTTCCTGCAGCAGCCCCACCTCCATGCCTAGCTTCCAGCATCAACACTGGTGGGAATAGACTCCACCTCCTAGAATTTGGAGCTGTCCCCAGTGGCCATTGCCTGGATGTGGCTGACTGCCTGGAGCCATACCCAGGTCTCTGGGATGACAGCTCTCAGAAAAGAAGCCAGCACCACCATTACTTCTTGAAGTCTAGCAATGCTTCTACGAATATAGTGCCTGTCAGACTCAACACACAGATGTTTGAAAACACCTGCATGCTTTTCCTGGGGAAAGTTGAGTCGGAGTGTGAATTGGGTGGCATCCAGGTTCTTTGATAGGATGCCTAAGAAATGGTGGTGAGCAGTTGGGAGGGCTGGAAGGCAGCTGCTCACTGGGTCATGGCCAGGTGACAGAATGTCCACATGGAGTCCCAAACACAGAGCCCAGCCAGTGCTCTGGTGGGAATGAAAGGGAGAGGATGTTTCAGCCTCGGCTCAGGTGAGCAGATTATTGCAGCTTGTGAGTCACGAATCTCTAGTGATGTAAACTGCTTCTGGGCTCTGGGTCCTGGGGTCAGTCCTTTGAAGCTTCAGTTCCTTTCCCTTTGCCCCCAGGAATGGAGGTTAGGGGAGAGTAAAGCACATGCATGTGCACACACATACACACCAATCCAGCCAAGGATCTGCTAAGTTTACTGGCTAAGGTATTCAAAGATTCACAGCAGAGAGCCCAACAAATTGTTTCGAAATGTAAGGTTTATCTACTTCTTGAGTTCTGCACGGACACTCAAAGTTTTCTGTATCTACTACAACCTTGACTTCCCTCTGTCCCCAGAGAACCAGTGCCCTGGTCTCTACGTGTTACTCAGGCGCTGGGAACATTTGTGTCTACACAGCAAGTGAACTGTGCTACTCACGGTCATTGCTGAAGTCGTCCACTAAGATGATTTCCTGGATCAGATTCAAAGGGGTGCGGTTCAATACACTGTGAGATGCAAAGAGGAAAAATCATTATGACTTCTAGTGGTAAATATGCGCATTAACCCAAGCCTCCAACAGACATCATTGCATTTGAGGAGTGAATACTCAGAGCAGCCAAAGGGCTGGTCCAGTCACTGCTCCCCTGTGAGCTTCAACCCTGCTTTTCCTCAGTGCATGGCACCCCCACCTGGCATGGAGGCCCAGATCCATGACCCTCCCTCTCCCTGAATCCCCACATCAAATCAGCGACAGTTACTTGCTGGTCGTTACTTGAACATGTCACTCAGACCACTCACGCCTCTTATACCTCTATCCTGATTCAACCTCTTTTGCCCATTTTTTTTGCAGGAGCCTTGACCTGCCCAGGTTATCTGCCTGTAGCCTCCAGAATGAGCTTTCTGAAACACAGATCTGACCTCTGATTGTGTGAATTTCCTCAGCAGCAAAAATAAATAAGTCAACAACCCCCTACAGTGGCTCCCCAGGTTTTATACCCCAAACCCTCAGCATGCTCCTCAAGGCTTCTCACAATCTGGAGACAGCCCCCGCTGTCAGCCTCCTCACACCCAGCGCTGATATCCGGAGACACCCTGTTCATTCATAACCAGGAGCCGCTGGAAATGCCCCTGCTCTGCCACAAGGACCAGTTGAAATGTCGCTTCCTCTCTAACAGTTTTCCAGTCTACTTAGTGAGAACTGATTGCTTCCTCCTCCGGGATCTCACAGCAGTCTGTACCTGAAACTTCCTGCGGTGTGCACCGCTGCTGCCGATTCTGAGGCTGGTTTGGCTGCCCCTCTGGACGATCACATCCCTGGGGGCAGATTGTCAAGGTGCTCCCTGTGTCGCCAGAGTCCAGCACACAGCCCTGGCCCTGAACCGTGCCCTCCAGGGGAGTTTAGTGCCCGCCTATTACATGTTTGGTGCTGGGTATATTATATGGAACAAAAGAGAGGTGAGCCCTGCCCTCCGGAAGCTGTGGTCTAGGAGCTACTTACTCTAAACTGTACAATCTTGGGCAAGTTTATGCGGTAAGTAGACCCATCTGGAAAATGGGGATAATAATAGAGGACCTACTTTACACAACTGCTGAGAGAATTCAAGGAGAAATGGTTTCTAAAGCATTTAGCATAAGGTCCAGCACAAAGCAGCAATTGCTGCTATTTCATGTGTCAATACTGATTTCTGAATTGACTCCGTTTACCCCCCTGTGCTGTACATCTGTACCCACAGGGCAAGGCTGGGTTTTCACGTTCACTCGGTCTTGGACCTGACTGAGGTGTCTGGATCCTGCTTCTCCTGAGCACTCCATTATACAGGTCCTCAGAAACATTCCTGGGCTGCACCTTTCACCCTGGGATGCCCACAGCCCCACGTGTGTGAGCTGGGGGTTCAGATGGGGGCTGGCAGAGGCACTGTGTGCATCCCTCCTCCCCACAGGACCATCATGAGCCCCATTTCTGGTGAGTTGCCCATTCTAAGCAGGATCAGAGACTCTCCAGGAGGAGAACTTTGCCTGGAGCTACTTTATTTATGAAGCCTTAATTCTCACCATGGCAACTAGTGTGGAGAGGAACCCCTGCACCAAGCCCTGAGTCCTGCTGGAAGGTGGGGACAGGGAGGGACAGGAGGTGGTGGGAGGAGACCCTCACCTCACCGTGATCACCAACCCAAAGAAAACACACACAAACCCACCACCCTACACTCTAATCAGAGAGGGAGGGTGAGAAGAAGGCGGAGGCGGAAAGCGGGAAAACCTGCCTGAAGAATACACTCTAATGAGGTTTGATTAAGGCTGCAGCTTCTGGATGCGATTCCCCCAAATCCCTGCCGGCTCTTTGAAATTCAAGAGTTCTCTTCTGTGAACATCAAAAGGTAAATCGCGTGCAGCTCTGTGCTGGTTGAACTGAGAGATGATTAGCGAATAAAAAATGCCCAGGGTTTTAAAAAGAAAAAAAAAGAAAGAAAGAAATCGTCAGCAGTAAGTGCTAATTAGACCATTTCCTGGTAACACCTGGCTTGTTTTTGCTCCTCTAATCAGAGCAATTGGAGTGAAGACGGGGGCTCTGAAGTGGCTTGGGACTGGGAGGGCCTGAGATGAGCAGGTGCTCTGGGCTCCTGGGGTGGCCACAGAAGGAGGAAGGTTAAGTCCATCCAGGGGACCTGGCCCGGCCCAGAGGGTCCCCCAGGCTCCTCCTTTCTGTACACCCTCCCCCCCCATTCCCACTGCCCAGACCCTGGTTGCTCCAGTGCTCACTTTTTCTGCCACTGCCTCCCCAACCCCTCTTACAGTAAACCCAATCCCCCTTTCCTCCAGGGCCCAGCTTAGGATAGGTTTCACCCCCACTGCCGCTGGTCTCTGTCCTTTCCTTCCGCAGCCTCAGCATGGGACTCATTGCTCACCCGGCTGGCCTTTTTTTCTAGAACGGAATCTCCTATACACAGCTCACCTCTGCCAGAGGGCGGCTGTGCAGGCAGCATCTCCTCTGCTCTCTGGCTGCTGCTCCCTAATCGTGGGTCCCACATGAGCACCTGGAGGGGTGGTGGGCCTAGCAGTGCAAGTGGTGCGGGAGGCCAGGCAGCCTCCCCCATCTACTAGCTGTGCAAACCTGAATAAGACGCTGGGCCACTCCCGGAGCTCGTTTCCATCTGTGATTATATTTTCCATGTAAAGGCAGACGATATTAATACTTGACCTACTTCACAGGCTTTTGTGCTTATGAAATGAGGAAATGTATTTGAAATTGCTTTGTGAACTCCGTGATGCTATATGCAGGCAGTGTTTATCAAACAGTCCATAAACACCAGATGAATGAAGACCAGTGGCCGGATGACAGTTGAGTTCAGTAGTTCTGGAGTCAGACTGACTGGGGGCCAAGCACTATATCTGTGCATCACACTATTCACTAGCTGGAAAGTTTGGAAGGTCTGAACCTTCAATATCAGAACTTCCTCAGCTAGCTGCATGAGAGGAGCTTCACATCATGCCTGGTGCACAAAGGCTGCTGTCAGAATCTGGGCTGATAATAATGAAGATACTGGTTCTCAAGGTGTGATCGCCAGGCCAGCAGCATCAATGTCACGTAGGGACTTGTTAGAAATGCAAATTCTTGGGTCCCACTCTAGGTTTCCTGAGTTAAAGTACCTGAGGACGGAGCCCAAGAAACCACGTTTTAAACAGCCCTCCAGGGGATTCTGCTGCCTGCTCACCTCTGAGAACCACACCACATTAGAACTCTGCTGCCCACCCAGGCTGCAGGGGCACCATGACACCTGTTGGGCACCTGTACGGGCTCACCCTGTGCCAGGTACTGTTCCAAGGCTCTACCTACCTGAACTTAATCACTTCCTCACCATAATCATGTGAGGTTTTACCAGTGGTGCTTGCTCTGTAGAAAAGGAAAATGAGACAGAGAGGTACAGATGCTTGCCCAGGGTCCCAAAATTGGTAGGGCAGAGCAGGTAAATCTGGCCCCAGAGTCCAATTTCTTAAATACCTTAACCTGAGAAGTTGCTCCTCTAAATCTACGATTCTACAAAAAAGGGCCAGTAAAGAGACTCAGGATATAAAGGGATCAATTGTGCATGCTCCAGAACCATGGGAGGCATAGGGTCGAAGGATGCCCCAATAGGGAGGGCGCAGCACTGGGTCTCACGCATACACAGTGAGCCGCTGCAACACCATCTAGATAAACCATTCTTCAGGCTTGTGTTCTCTCTCCTTAACTGTGGAAAGTCACCTAGTTCATGTAGGTTGTGATTTTTCACTCTCGCCCATCACCTACCCCATCATGCCCCTGCCTGGCTCTGAGTGCCCCCTGGACACCTGTCCAGCCCTCATCCCCTCCCCTGATAACTCAGGAGTCAGGGGGACAGAGGCTTGGGCAGAGTGTGAAGGTCTGACCAAGGGCTGGGTGGTAGGAAGGAGAGGGCACATCCACTCCTCCCCGGTTGCCTGAGCATCTTTCCCTCTCAAGAGTCTGGCAGCAGAGCCATCGTAATTCTAGAATGTTAAAGATGAGAGCTACCTTAGAGAAGAGCCTTCCATGGATGACAAAGCAAGATAGGACGTACTCTTCATTCAGTTCCCTCTCAATGGCTAGTCATTGTGCAACAGGATAGGGAGTGGAAGGGAGGTACAGAATCCCAAGGCAAGTGGGACCTGGTCATCAAAGTTGCCAGAAGTGATCTTCCTTGCCTCCATTCCTAGAGTTCACTTCCACCCAGCCTGCTGATGATGTACATGCCTGTCGTTCACACATGGCTCTAGGGCCCCCATTCTGCTGTTTTGCTGCACTACACTTGGGTCTGAGCTGGGGGCCTGGCTTACTTTGGAAGCTCCTAAGAAGCAGGAAACAGGTCTGCTGGCTGTCTTGGCAAAGTGCCCAGCAGAATTTGGTGTGTAGTCTGGCACTTCATAGGTGTCTTCTGGAAAGTATGGCGTTGAGGAGTACCAGGCCCCCTCTCAGAGTGCACAGCTCTGGGGCCAGCCCTCCAATGGGCAGGTGGTCGGAGGCGTGGGGCCCCCTGAGCCAGTCCCCACTTCCACTGGAAAGCCAGAAACCAGAGTCTTGCCTCCTGTGCTTCTGAGCCCCATGGGTTTGGACCTCCATTTACCCCCCAACTTCAGACTCCAGATGGGGCTCCAACTGAATGGAGGGATGGAATGTGTCTGTAGACCATAGAGCTAAGCACATATTTAACATATTAATGTCATTATTGGCAAGTGTGATTATTACTATTATAAAGAGATAGAGGAGCAGCAGCAAGAGGAGCAATACGTCATGGTGCTGAAAGGGATATAAGTCTGGGGACAGCAGCCCAAGTGCCCCCAAGAACAAAAGCATAGTGTTAGATAAGTATGGGGGCTGGGACAGCCATATTGTGATGTCCCCCAAATGTTCCAGGGTGATGTCTTATTGTGGGACCTGGGATAGAATTTGAAGTATGAAAGATAGTTTTTTTTTTTCCAGTTTTCAAAATTTTATTGAGATGTTGGGGAGAAA